ACTGAAAATATGTTTAGTCTATAAGAAACGTTACGGCATCTACCCATACATTTCTATTTCCATTTGAATTATATCATTCAATAAAACACATAAACGCACATAATAAGTCTCAGTAACTCGTGATATTTTTATTAAATAAACACTCAAAAAAAAAAAAAAAAAAAAAAAAAAAAATTAGAAAACCTTGAGGCCATTTATACATATTATGTACCTAACCGTGGTTGTTGTTGCCCAACAAGCAGAACACAACAGCCTGCTTTGTTATTACACCCATAGAACACCTGTCCTTAAAATGTTATATCCAACGTTTTCATGGATGGAAAGAGTAGGAGAATGTATGAGTTTAAAAACAATTCTATTTTTATACCAAGCATTAAAGACTCGAGGTATACTAAATATGCCGATTTGCTAAGAGCATGCAAAAATACGTTTGAAATCACTTAAAATTACCCGCGTAGTTATATTTTTACACAATAAAAGGAAAGAAATCATGAAAAAAAAAATCGTACAAATGCAGAACACCGTAGAAAATAGATAAAATCCATTGACTTTACTGAAAACAGCTTTATATTTGATATAATTACTAATACCTACAAGCTGTGCAGACGAACTAAAAGATAATCGCATAAAAAGGGATATCGTTTAATATACATAATGGATTAGGAAATCATTTGATATATATTTGGCCAACGGGGGTTTTTTACTCGTTTGTACGCTTTTAAAAAGAATATATTTATTTATAAGTCGTAAATAATAATCGTGTAAAAAAGATTTCGTGTAAATGCATAGTGCAATAAAAAATTGATTCTATTTTCGTAAAAGAAGCAGCACGCATATAAGCTCTTATAAGAAACACCTTAACTTACATAACAACAAACTAAAAGTCAATGCGTGTAAAAAAAAATATCATTAAATAAAGATAGTGCTATAGGAAATGCACTGCTGCTTAATGCCACCGAAAATATTAGATGTGGGTACTTGGTCTTACAAAGAGCATATCTGTTTACGTTTTGTACAAATCTAAACCAAAAATAACCGCATAAAAAAGACCAATGTAAAGTATAAAAATATTGCATAAATACTATATATCTATAGCTCATAGATTCGAACCAGAAAGCCTTTACTGTAAAGTATGTATACTTAAGTTTTGAAAAATTCGATTTGGTATCTCTCTTACTTTCTCCACGTTAATCCTGTCAATAAAAACTAAGTCGTGCGAAAAATTGCATAACATACATCTAATCCTCCTTATGCACAGATATGAGCCAGAAAATAATTGTAAGCAAAAGTTTCACATAAAAACCGTTTTCAGTAGAATGAGAACCGTTTTCCCAAATTTTTTGTTCACAAAAACATTTGCCAGCATATATGAATTTTCTCATACGTATATAGAATAATTCAGGGATTGTTGTTACAGCAAATAAATAAATTGGGGGATATTTATCAAGCTACTCGCTTAAACGGAGTAAATTGAGAGAAATCGTATAAAAATAAACTTAAAAGAGTGGTTTTTAAAGTCCAAAAACATACGTGCATACATTTTTGATAAGCGGGAAATTTTGAATCGCTTGTCAGTCTATCGTTTCATTTATTGCTGGGTTTGCCAAATTGTTATAAGGTATGTTATACAGACAAGATCGAATATGAAAACATGTTTGAAAAAGCGGTTTGCTTATAACCAGAAATAATATAAATGAAAAACAGAAGCCGACCAAAACGGGAAGATCGAATTTCTATACGCTAAGCAGACGATCTAAAAGCATATTAAGTTCAAAATGTTAAAATTTTTGTTTCTATTCTACTCGTATCCACAGTATACTTAAATACCTTTCATAAATAAAGGGCGATGTCTTCTTTTTTAGATTTAATATATTCACTACGGGTGGAAACATTCACTCGGGGGATGTCCCCTATTCGTGCCACACGGCGACGGCCGCAAAGAAAGAAAGGCTCTCTCATGTAACGGAAAGTAGTATTTTTAACCAATGTCAGTATCAGATCAACTTTATGTTACGGACCCCACGTTACGGGCACCGCTTCTCTGTAGGGGACTGGGGGGTTAACATTTGTCCCTACAAACAACACTGCACGTACGGTTGCGCACAAGAAATACACGAGCAGAAACTTTCATGGAGTCAGACGGGCCATCGAAACTTTCTTAGCGAACGAGCTATTGACATTATACCCTGGACATAACATTCTACACCCTGGCCCATAATTTTGTGTGGGAAATGGAAAGAGATAGGGAAGCAACAGCAGTCTATTGGTTGTGTGTGCGATGCCTTTCCCAACTGAACACTTACTACGAGCAAATACGAGCAAAGTAAACCCCACCCCATTCATCTATTCGCAAACATGGTCTTGGTAATCGCAGATCTTATCTGCTCGCTCGCAAGTTCAGAATGTAGTAGTATGTTTATTGTAACGAATATGCAACAGTCCTATCTCTGTCTTATTGCGTTTACCGCACCATAGACTACCGCATTACCTAATCTAATGGGTATCCGAAATTCGCCCCAAAGCTGTTTACAGCTGTTCTCCTTGTTCGCTGAATAAAGTTTCCAATGTAAAATAGAACTGAATGGAATAAAATAACAATAACAACACAAACAAAAACAATATTAAAGGAATGTCTGCTTTGTTTAAAACAATTCAACACAATACATTTACCATTAATCGTCTTGTTTGTCAAGCACTTGAAGATTTAAAAAAAAAAAACCTACAACTTAACAATTCATTGGCAGCATTTACTCACTCATACATTCTGTGCATCAAAAAAAGAGAAAAAAAAATAAGGTATATGCATGTATGCGTACATAACAAACATATAATCGATTACTAAAGGGATTATAGCATAGAGGTTAATCAAAGGTTAAATATTTTTCTATTCGAATATTTTGTTGTTTGTTACATGTTAAGCCTCAAGTAAAGAGAAAATTAAATTTTGTTCGAAAACTAGTCAACAAAGTTAGCTCCCCACAGGTTGATTCACTTTAGTAAATCAAGCGATCAGGTTTAATAGTATTACTTAATATGAAAAATTTTTACACACAACAACAAAAATACCTTCTAAATATACAGCAACACCGAAATCCTCGTCTTACTACAGCTACACAAAATTGGTGATCGTAGAGAAAAACTCGACATTTTTATTATTACTACTGTATATTATTATAACTGTACAGAAAATATGGTAAGCCATTTTATTACTTCCTTAGCATAATGATTGCAAATTGAAGTGATGGTGCGGAGAGTGGGTACATTTTCCAAAATAAATAAAAATCGTAACCTTTTACTTATGGAAAATGTAGCAAAAAAAGTCAATATCCAAATTATTCCCCAGAGCCATTTAAAATACAGATAAAATAGAATATTCGATTGAACTGTGGTCACGCCCATATTTTTGAGAAAACGATTTACAATTTTTTGCATAGATTCTAAACGGTGGTTACCTAAGCTTGACACCAAAAAGCCTATTCGGTTTTTGATAAACAGAGGCATTCTAAGCGCTATAATTTACGTAAGCGTTTGCCTTCTATCTCGTAATTATGATAGGATATGACTGAAGACTTCTATATCGCTCTCTGTAAAATATTGCTACAAAATAACATACATACATCTCCATACATACATACCTACTAAATATCCACCAAAAATTACTATAAACTCGTAAGAGAAATACTATAAAGGGGCGAAATTTCAAAATTTCTAAGATTTTTGCATATGTATGGCTGGTGTAAGAATCCGAATTTATCCGACTTTTGAATCTGGCCCGAGCGAAGAAAAAAAAAAGTTTGAGACCATGCTCTAACCTGAAAATATTCATATCGTAAACTTTATTACGACAGGCAGGCAGACAAACAGACAGTCAAAGAAACAAAGCCTCTATCGTTGCACTCTTCAAGATGATTAAGAAGACATAAAGTTGATAAGATTTTCAAAGCAGACACCCGGGCGAACGCGACATTCATCGATTCCGTTATTGATTGAGACCTTTTAATCTAGATTGTCGCGAAAGCTGAAACTTGTAAGACGTACAAAGACTCCGACGCTTCAAATCCTCTTACGTTACCCGAAAATGTATAAGTAAATAATTCATTTATAGTTCATTTATTTAGACTTAGAGACAATTTTATTAAACTTAAACTCAATTTCCGTTTTCTTTCTTTTACGATCACCAAAAAAACACCTCGCGTCTCCGTAGTAGTAGTAGATTACTTCCTCTTTTCATGTTCAAGGTTATACGAGATATGCATAGCTTTAGAAGTCCTCGATCCATTGCAAACATTTATCAAATTTAAAAGTAGCATACTTTAAGGATATATATGAAAAAATAAATAAATAAACCAGTGCCTCGTGAATGTAAACGTATTTATATACATGTGCATGAACAAAGACTTTACTTACATTACTAATTACATATGTTGTGATAGTTAGAACGTTAACAAGATGAGAAGAAATCCTTTTCAATTTGTGTAAATTTGGCGCGAGGCCTTGAAATTATACTTTTATGTTTAACGCAAAAAAGCAAGCGCGAAACTTTTACACACATATGTATGTTGTATATAAGCGACTGGATATATAGAAAGGCAATATATATATATATATAAATATATATAAATATATATATATATATAAATTTAACGGTTACGTAGATTAACTGAAAAGAATTTATTTTCATTTACATGTGCATACATACATTCACGTTATAATTTATTATTATTTTTTTTACTTATTTACTTTCTTTTTTTTTGAAAATTATTCAAATGGAAAAATGAGAAGAGCACACATTGGAAAAGCAACGAACATTGAAAATGAAATGACCGTAGCGTTGTAAGCGAGTAATGGTTGTGTAGTCGATTTGAATGGAACGGAAAAAATGTAAAAGAACAGAATAAAGGGCAAAAAATGTGAATAAAATTTTTTTTTATTATTTTTTTTTATACAAATATTAAATTTTATTTTTTGTGCGGACCTTTAACGATAAAATAAATACACACCTTTATCTGTAAACATACACGCCGTGTTATAATAGAAGAGAAAACGCCCGCTTTAATAACTTAATAGACAACGTATAGACACAAACAAAAGAGATTTTCAAATAAATTTGCAGTTGTTGTCTTTCGATTGTATACAAAAGTCAGCTATAAAAAATGGGAACGCACAAAATTATATCTACACAAACAAACACATTAAACATGGAATATTGAAGCACATCCTCCCGCATACAAGTTCAGGTAAAGAAGAAAGTTACTTATTACACATAAATGTGTGCGACTGTGTGCGTGTGTGTCTGCTCTTTTTCTTTTTGTTTTTTTTTTTTTTTGTATACCGAAAATGAAACACTTTGTGCTTTGATATGATGATAGTCCGTCCTATTAGGAAAATTTATTGATAGAAGAATATTCAAAATTCTACTATAACTAGATGGATATGTATTCCAATGGTTGCCTTTAATACGGGGATAAAATTGTTCATGAAGATTATATATTTATTCTTTGTATGTAAAATTTTTCTAAAAATATAATTTTAGTTTTGTGTTTTTTTTTTTTAATTTTTTTTACTTTTGTAAATTTTCTAAATCACTGCTACGATGAGAAGTTATGTATAATTTTTAATTTTTTTTTTATGAAATTTCCTTTTCTTCTTTTATTAAATTTCACACAATACAAAAAAAGCAAGAAAAAAAACTTGTTTGATATTCACTTAATATCAGCACCGTTCAAAGCAAAAGCTGTACTCTTTCTGAACGTCTTAACGTATAACTAATAGCCTATAACTATGCTATATGTAATTTTTTTTTTTTTAGATATAAATCATCATCATCGACTTACTCTATCTCTCTCAAAATATATATGATAACATGTGCTGTAAGAAATCATTTTCAATTCTCTTGTGCTTTTTCTCTCTTTCCTATATTTGTTTATCTCTCTCACGTACATACAAAGCAAGCGTTCTTTCTCTTTACACATTTTACAATTGTGGAGGATTCATAAGCTGGAAAGGAAATAATGCTTTAAGAGATATTGAGTGAACTAAATCAAAAACGTGGCATAAATATTTCCGAAAGCTTTTGCAATGAAATGACCCGATCGACCAAATTAACGCGCCCATAATTAACAATATTAATTCAAATGTTAGTTAATGATGTATTGATTTGAGGCAAAACATATCAATGTTTCGTTCTATTATTATTATTATTATAATTTATTTTTACCAAAGGAATAAATTCTAGGACCAAAAAGTATGATGAACGCTAGCGACTAAGACTTTTGATCTCTTCTTTTTTTAAGGTTTAGCAGCTTTAATAAATGGATTGGTATAAAGTTCAAGGATGCGATGGGGTTAGATGCTTCGATAACTAACTAATCTTTGGATATGAAAATAGATCCAAAAAGTATACTTTTTACCGTAAGATTTTGTCCATAATCGCAGCTCGGAGGAGTAAATTTCTTAAGGATCTTTTAATGTGTTACAATGGCGTGTCCGAGTGTAATGCTTATAAAACTTGTCATCCCGACTTTGATTGGATATAGAGATGGCACCCGATTACGATTTACTTGCGAGTAGTGGCACTGTCGATTTTGTTCGAGAGTTTTCTCTTTAATTTTTTCCCTAATATATTTTTGAAAGTCAAACTTTTCCATTGTGCCGTCTATAATTAGTGGTGCGGAAGCTGCGGATTTATCCAAAATATATTAAATTCACGTAAATGGCTATGATATTTCTCACTTTGTTAATGGTGTCCTGGGTGATGTTTAAGAGATTGCGCATAGCTTTTATGATCGACAAACACACTGCGATGAAAGCCCTTTCAAGTTTAGTTGTGCGAGCAAGGTTTGTGGCCTGAAGAATATGTGCAGCTTCGATTGAAAATTTTGACACACTCTCGCGTAGGATGTCATTAATTTTTACTTGGCCTGCAGCATTTATTACTACGTAGGGAGCGAACAAATCATCACTCGTAAAACCATCTGTAAAAGGATGCCAACCAATGTATTCCACAATCTCAGTTTTCTTTACGATAAGCTCTGTGAACACGGAATTTGACGCACGTTCTTTTTTTTGTATGTTAAGAGTAAAATATCTAAGATTCTAGGACCAATATTTCTTACTCGCTGGACTCACCAATAAGGGATGGGGGTATACTCATTTTGTTATTTCTATCCATAAAAGCAAGCTTCGGATATCCTATAAAGTGTATCTATTCTTGATTAGCGTTAGATTTTGAATTGATTAAGCCGTGTCTGTCCGTCCTTTAGGTGTTTGTTGTTGGCACGCCCTGGTCGCGAAAAAGAAGATATGCACTTCAAATTTGGTCTCTGCAGGCATCTTGGTATTGAAAATGGACCAAATTGGTCAAAGCAGAAGCCTCCATTGGAGCGTAAACTGAACGCAACTCCGTTTTTCTTACCAAAAATTTGTTCCTTTTTGCTCGTTACTCAGGAATTATATAAGGTAGATAGCTAAAATTTTCTACATTTACTTTACGAAACACATGCCAAAAGGGCAATAATTTGTCATGCCCATACAAAATTGCAAGTAATTAAATTTTCTTTTTCTCAAAAAATATTTTGTTATATAAAGTTTTATGTTAGTAAACTAAAAGGTGGAAGACAAATTCTATTCGCTTTTCCATAACTATAAATAAAGGCATGGCGTGATAAAGATTTCAATAGTGATGTAGCAGGTATAGGGCAGCCGGTAAATACGTCTTGTGTGGGTAGAGGCTCCTCTTGAATATATGGATCTTGCATAGCCTGTTCTGAACTAATTCGTTTATTAGGATCCACTAACAGTAACTTTTGCAATAAATGGAATGCTTTGCTATCTGGTTTAACTTTGTGACGATCTACGTATTTGGCCAGAGGACAGGTCGAATACGAAGATCTTTTAAAATCTTTTGTCAAGATGTGGTGTTCAGGCATTTTTTGAATATCCTCCCAGTCTTTGTCTTGCGGTCTAATTAATCATGGCGATAGGGATTACTGGTTTTTATATCTTCCTGACGGCAGCAAAAAATAGGTTCGGATGTGAGTAGTTCGGCGAAAATACATCCTGTTGCCCAGATATCAATATGCATAGAACTATCCGCCAGGCAATGTTGATTTGAAAGATGACGACCCCAGCGGTCGCCCACATACGGCTGAAAATTCGCGATATAATGTACGCGAGGTAGTGGATGCCACTAACGTTCCCCGGACAACGGTACATAATCATTTAATCAAAATGAGATATATCGTCATTTAATTTCGCAACAAAAGAAAAGCAGCAAGAAACTTATGGGGCACCCTAATACATTATAAGTTTAGCAATGCGGTCAATTTTTTTCTAAATATATTGAAAGAATCATAGCAGGATTTCAGACTCGGTTGTAAGGCATACCAATATCATAATAGCAACACGAACAATAAAAGATCGTTCAGCGGATGAGATAGACACCCGTGGTATTAATATGCAAGTTTTTTCGTTCGATCTAGAACACTGCAGTTTTGGAGGCTCGAGTTGGAACGATTTTGTGAAGGTAGATAAACAACATGAATTTTAGATAATCGGAGAATTTTAAGAAAGCACGAGTGAAGGAGGACACATGGTGTCTAAGATTGAGCCCCTAAACAAAACGTTTTATACGGTTAACAATACTATGAAGTCTTCCTAAGTTATACCCCGAGCACCCAGAAAAGACTTCTATACTGCAGGAGTTAACAAGTAGTTAACATGCTTCAAAAGGAAGGCATGAGCAATGACATGTTTAACCTTTAGAAGCAGATTTAGATTTATATTGTCCAGTTTGTTTTTTGTTGTTTTCTTTTGAACTGTAATAAAAGTGAGAAAGAATTTCATATAGTATAAAAAATAATTCGTGATAGTTGCGACGAACTGTAATAGGAGTGTAATGGCGTGCTCACAACAGTAATTCGAGTGTATGATACCACAAGGTTACCACTACCGGATCCATATCCGCCAAAGACTTTGGAGGTGCATTAAATAAACGAGCAGTACCCATACGCCCCAGTTAACGATATAATTTTAATTCCAATTTATTTCGAAATCATTTTCCATTAATTCTAGCACACTTTAGCATTCTTTCCATCCAATTGCAAATAAATATATGTGCATAAACTTGATAATGTTGAGAAGAACATCACATGCGAATTTTTCCTTTTCCTCTATAATGAGAATAAATGGAAAAGCACCGTACCAATTCTAAAGTTAATTGACAATAAACGAATAAAAGCACCGAAAAACATCATAGAAGTTATTAGAAGTTCAATTAACAACCACTAAGATGCTCAAACGTTTTTAAGTATTTTATTTATTCATTTAAGTAAAAACTATAGAGGAAATGCGTTTTGTCCCCAACATTTTCGATTATCTTTTCATCGCCTGATTTTTCAGCATCAGTATCACTATTATAATACATCTTTTGGCTTCGACACTGCGTTTAACAAATGGTACGTATTGATATAATTCATTATTACCTGATTCTCCGTTACTGATAATGTACCGTTTGAGCTTGTTAAGGTATTTTACATCACCGGGAACACAGACGGCACCGGCAGAATACCACAAGCATAAGCGTAAATAATCTAGTACCTGGCAAAGAAATAAAGAAGAAGAAGAATATTAGAGCAACACACTTTTTCTATCGTTATCTCATTTACCTCTTCGTAGGTATCTAAAGAAATCAGATCCAAAGCGGTTAATCGGGTTTGACGGCGGGATGAAACAAAAGCGATTCCGTTGGCGAATAAGAGCGTATTGCTTGGAATGTCGGCGGATTCATAGTGGCCATCCGTGGACAGTAATGTTTGCCTGCAAATAAATGATTAAAGAAAAGTTAGAGAAGTTATCCAATTCGGTTTAATTACCGGAAAACCCAATGTTTGAAATTATATAACCCCATTTCCTTAATATCCAGCCAATTGGCGAGATCTTGAGCGTTGGCCAAAGCAGTAGATAAAGCAACGATACGTACATTGCATCCGGTGCGTGACATAATGAAATTCGTACGTGACACAATCACTTCAATGACAGGACCTCGGTCTTCTCGCAGTAAATGAATTTCGTCTATAACAATTAGTACAACACCCTGTACATATTCTCTTGTCTGCCAAGACCGGCTGATATCATCCCATTTTTCTGGTGTGGTAACTATCAGTTGAGAATCCAATCGCTAATTCTTTTCTTAACCAAAGCTTTCAAAGGCGCAATATAAACAACCTTAGCTCTTCCATAATTATTAAGCGTTCAAAGTATGGCGATTTCCGCCACTATAGTTTTACCTGAACCTGTGGGTGCGCCCAGCAAAATGTTATTACCGGTATGATAAAGACAATGAAAGACTTGAGTTTGTATAGGATTGAAATGCGCACAATTATATAAAGATTCGTAGACTGGATATTTCAGAGCACTAACAGCTAAAGGTTGCAGCGGTAAAAGTTCAGTAAGAGGGGGATGGTGTTTCGGTAGCACTATGTGCTTAAAAGTTAATGGAGTCGACGCATTAGTACCCGGCCAAGTGTCAGTCGCTACTCGAATATAATA